GTTCAAGCCCCAGGACTGGCAAAAAATAAAATAAAGATAGACAACTGAGAATTATTTGGGGCTCAAGGGTAAAGTGGACATTTCAACTCTCAAGCCAATGTCTTCCTCTAAAACTCCACCATCAACAAAGGTTTAATTTTCAATCAAAAAGCCATGATTTACATACAAATGAAGGCATTCTGATGTCTACTTACTTTAGGATTTGATGCTTTTTCTAGTAGCTCCTGAACCTAAAGGATAAAAGCAGAATAAGTCAGAAGCTTGTTAACAATAGCACTTCCAAAGGCTCTTTGGGAAAGGGTTCTTACATAGTTCTCTCCAAAAGTACGCTGGCCATGATTGTAAGCCTCAATCACCATGTCTGCAGGTTTGGTTTTGCTGACTGCTACAAGCCGGGGTTGGATAGCTGGGAGATCCTGTCAAGAGGTAAAGAGCCACATAAGTGAATGTTTGAGAATATCCCAAGTCCAGTAGGATACATTCTGTAAAACAGACTGCAAGAAAGCTGGGCGCCGGTGACTCATGCCTGTAATCCTAGCTAATCAGGAGGCTGAGATCTGAGGATCCCAGTTCGGCCAGCCTGGACAGGAAAGCCAGTGAGACTCATCTCCAATTAACCACCAGAAAACCTGAAGTGGCACTGTGGCTCAAGTGGTAGAGTGCTTGCCTTGAGCTGAGAGCAAGGGATAGCTCCCAGGCAAAGTTCAAGCCCCACAACCGACAAAAACAGAAACCAAAGAGACTACAAGAGATCAACCTCAAAGGGTGGAAGCAAATGCCTTATATTCAACCTAATGTTAAATTACCTTATTAACAGAAGACATTTCTTTATCAGGAGTGCTGAGCAAGTTAAAAAAGGATTTTCTTGAGGTGTAGTCTTTGATCAACTTTATCAGCATCACCAGGTTCCCAAGGAGTTGTGATGAATTGACTGGAGAACAAGAATCTTTTTTCTTTTGGCTTACAATGTTGAACATGGAATCCAGGGCCTCATTCAAGCTAGATACTCTACCCTAGTCTTGTGAATCTCCTTTTTGTTTTTTTGGTGTCAATCTTGGGGCTTGAACTCAGTGCCCGGCTCTGTCCCAATGATCTACCACCTAAGCCATAGCTTCACTTCTATCTTTTTAGTGGTTAATTGGAGATGAAAGTCTCATGAACTTTCCTGTCAGGTTCAAATGGTGATCCTCAGATCGTATCCTGAGCAGCTAGGATTATAGGTATGAGCCACTAGCACTCAGCTGAGAATTGTGTGTGTGTGTGTGAGAGAGTTGTGGAGCTTGAACTCTAGGCCTAGGCGCTATCCCTCAGCTCTTCAGCTCAAGATGAGCACTCTACCACTTGAGTGATAGTGCCACTTCAGTTTCCTGGTGGTTAATTGGAGATCAGAGTGTCACAGACATTCCTGCCTGGGCTGGCTCTGAACCACAATCCTCAGATCTCAGCCTCCTGAGTAGCTAGGATTACAGGCATGAGCCACTGGCATCTGGCAAATTTCTTTTTTGGTCAGTCCTGGGGCTTGAACTCTGGGCCTGGGCGCTATCCCTGTGCTCTTCAGTTCAAGGCGAGTGCTCTCCCGCTTCAGCCACAGCTCCACTTCCAGTTTTCTAGTGGTTAATTGGAGATAAGAGTCTCACAGACTTTCCTGCCTGGGCTGGCTTTGAACTGTGATCCTCAGATCTCAACCTCCTGAGTAGCTAGGATTACAGGCATGAGCCACCAGCACCCAGCCAGAATTTCTTTTTAATAAGTGATTCTCAAGATGATTCTCCCAAATACCAATTTTGGAGATTTAAAAATCAGTTCATGGGCAGGGGTATGACTCAATGGTATATGGCTTGCTAAGCTGGGCAAGCCTGAGCTCTCGTTCTGATCCTAACACTTCAACAAAACAAAAAAACTATCACATCATTAAAAACTCAGATTAGTACTTTTGGCTTTTAAAACCCCAGTCAGCTTTGGTGACTCTAGTCTCTTGTAATTTTTCATTTTTTAATTTTGTTGGTTGTGTGGCTTGAACTCAAGACCCGGGCACTATCCCTGAACTCTTCTGCTCAAGGCAAGTTCTCTACCACTTTAAGGCACAGCACCACCTTGTTTTCTGGTGGTTAACTGGATAAGAGTCTCACCAACTTTTCTGCCCAGGCTGGCTTTGAACTGTGATTCTCAGATCTCAGCCTCCTGAGTAGCTACAATTACAGGTGTGAGCCACAGCATCTAGCTAGTCTTGTGTAATGTTTTTCCAGTCCTGGGGCTTGAACTCGGGGCCTGGGCACTGTCCCTTAGCTCTCCTGAGCTTCTTTTGTTCAAGACTAGCATCACTTGAGCCACAGTGCCACTTCCAGCTTTTTCTGTATATGTGGTACTGAGGAATAGAACCCAGGGCTTCATGCATGCTAGGCAAGCACTCTACCACTAAGCCACATTCCCAGCCTTGGTGTAATTTGTTGTTTTTGTTGGTTGTGGGGTTTGAACTCAAGGCCTGGGCACTGCCCTTGAATTCTTTTGCTCTACCACTTTCAGCCACAGCTCCACTTCTGGTTTTCTGATAGTTTATTGGAGATAAGAGTCTCACAGACTTTTTTGCCTCTTCTGTCTCTGAACCACAATCCTCAGATCTCAGCCTCCTGAGTAGCTAGCTAGGCTTACAGGTGTGAGCCACCAGTGCCTGCCTCTTGTGTAATTTTTAATGTTGCCTTCATTCACTCTGAAAGTAGCCTAAATAGGCTAATAAATACACTGTTCAATCTGTGACTCAATCAACTGATGACTGTGACATAATTAGACCTATATCTAACCTCTCCTAGTAGCCATTATCTAAAGGGCAATTTTCCATGCACTCAGCTGCAGCCAAATGTACTGGGAGGTAACAAGAGACTCCTTAAACAGTTCATTTTTCCCACTGCCCCTCACCTCTACTCATTGTGGTTTTCATGGAACCACAGCATGTTCAAGTTTGGACCATTAGTACATAGTATCCTCTTGCTTGCTACTGTGGGAGGGGCTGTGTCTTCAACCTTTTAGGAGACCATGTCATAATTTCTAGGATTATGTACATGAATTTTGGCTTCCAGAAAGAAAGTGGAACATGCAGTTGGGCTGGGCACTCCCAGAATGCACCTAATAGACTTTCCCACACCAATATGTATTAGAGGAATCCCTAGGCTTTCCTTGGAGAATCACTGAGGATCACAGAACAGTAAGGCCAGAAGAAAGCTAAGAACTTTCAGAGTCCATCCTACTGCATGTACAGATGAGGAAACTGAGGACCAGTATAGTTAAGTGACTTATTCAAAGCAACATGTAAAAGTAAAGTTAATTAAAGACTAATTAGGGGGCTGAAGGTGGCTCAGTGGTAGAGTGCTTGCCTTGCATGCATGAGGCCTTGGGTCTGGTTCCTCAGCACCACATAAGTAGAAAAAGCCAGAAGTGGCACTGTGGCTCAAGTGGTAGAGTGCTAGCCTTGAGCTGAAGAGCTGAGGGACAGTGACCAGGCCCAGAGTTCAGGCCCCATGACCTACCCCCCCCCCAAAAAAAAAAAGACTAGGTCTTCACTCTTCAGAACAGCATTTTAAGTTCATAAATGCTTGCTCAGAAGATTTTTTTAAAAATCTTTTCTGTTTAGGGCTGTCTCATTTCACTCTATTCACCTTAGCTTGCCTGGAGATGAGTTGACCTCTGGACTTTTGGTCTAATCAAAGTTCAAGAGGAGACAAAATATATACAGAAGAGAAAGGAGAGGAAAAAAAAAATCTCCCCTGTAACAGCTTGTTGATAGACATCTGACAGCTCCTGGCTATTCCAAACGCCCAAGTGCAGCTTTGTCGCCTATAAAATCAGGTCAATCCGTGCCCACGTTGGCCGAGGGTGGAAGTGACTGTCAGACGCTGACCCACACGCGATCGTGGGAGGGTCTGGCTCCTTTTCGTGTTTCTGCTATCAGACGCTCCCGGTGCGGCCTGTGGGTTGGGGGCGGCTGGCTCTCATGGGGGCCACCAAGACCCCTACACCGAGCGACAGGAAACGGCCCGACGCGACGGTCCCCCCGCGGGACAACCCCGCCAACCTCGGGGCAGCCAAGCAGGCTCAGCGCGCGGTCGCGAGGAAACCCCACCGCGGCCGACGCCGCGCCGCAGCCCCGGCCCACGCCCGGCCAGCTGGCCCCGCCCCTCGGGGAGACCCCGGCGCGTCACCGTGACGACCGGGGGCGGCGCGGGGTCCCCCTCCGCAGGGCGGCCGCCCGCTCTCCCAGCGCGGTCCCCTTCCTCACCTGCGGCCGCCGCGCCACGGCCTCCTGGAGGCGCTCATTCACGGTCCTCAGCGCGAGCCCCACTCCCAGTTCGGCGGACATCCTGCCAGCTCTCCACATTCTCCGGGGAGCGACACAGAGCGCCGCCCCCCCACCCCAACCTTCCGCACCCGCGGCGGAGCCCACCTTCCGGTCCCGCCCCCTCACGAACTGACGACCAATCGCAGCTCAGAATCAAGTTGTCTTATTCAATCCATCCCGGGCAGCGCAGGGCGGGCACGGAGCCAGCGGACCGCCCTCGGCGGCCATCTTAGGGGGCCCGCGGGCCCCGCTGCGGGCGTTGTGGGGACGGTCGGGCTCCCTGCGGGGTCGGAGCGCTCCTGGTGCGGTGTCTACGTCCTCTCGGCCCGAGCCCGAAAGCCAGCCGGCCTCTTTCCTGCTGGCTGAGCCATTGCGGCTCCCCACCCCAGGACTCTTATGAAGGGAAAAAAAGCAGCCGTGGGTGGCCTAGTGCCGTTCAAAAGGCCGCATGGGGGCTGGGAAGGTGGCTCGGCGGTAGAGCGCTTGCCTTGCATGCGTGAGGCCCTGGGTTCGATTCCTCAGTACCACATAAACAGAAAATAAAAAAGCCGGAAGTGGCACTGTGGCTCAGGTGGTAGAGCGCTAGCCTTGAGCTGAAGAGCTGAGGGACAGCGCCCAGGCCCAGAGTTCAGGCCCCACAACCGGACCCCCTTGACCTGCCCTCCCAAAAATGCCGAACGGATCCCTAGATGTCAAGATCTGCACAAAAATTCTGGGGCGCAGGTACCGGGAATAGAAACTCCTTAGCGCAAACGGGATTTTTTTTTTGTGCCGATCCTGGGCTTGAACTCAGGGCCTGAGAGCTGTATCTGAGACACTTTTATTGAACCCAATAAATCCAGAGTAAGATTTCAGCAAGCAATTGATAGAAAAACCATATGAGACATTCTTTAAAAAAAAAATGGTACTAGCCAGGTGCTGGTGGCTCACGCCTATAATCCTAGCTACTCAGGAGGCTGAGATCTGAGGATCACCATTCAAAGCCAGCCCAGGCAAGAAAGTCCAAGAGACCTGTATCTCCAATAAACCACCAGAAAAGTGGTGCTGTGGCTCAAGTGGTAGAGTGCTCAGCTTGAGCTGAAGAGCTGAGGGACAGAGCCCAGGCCTAGAGCTCAAACTCCACAACCAAAAAAAAAAAAATCATACTTAGCATCATTATGTATTGTTTACATTATACAGTCTGCTTCATTTGGTGCTATCCATAACTCTAATGATTAAGGGCCACCTTGGCTAGTGCTAATTTGTCAGAGGAAAGCCCAAATGGGGTTAGGCCATCTCAAAGAGCTCAACATACATTCCTAGTCCTGAACCAACTATGAGCCCATGATGAAGAGCCAGAGAATCACCACAGATATTAACACAACAGGATACTAAACTTATTAGTCAGATGGTAAAATAGTGTCATGGACAAGTAGAAAGACTTAATTTTTGATAAATATTTGGTTACAATTCTCTCCAGATAGAAGGAGAAGAGGAGAGAGAGTCAGGCTAGGCAATCAAAGCAAAGGCCTTCTCCTATAGAGGTTCTACATTTCTTACCGTGGCCTTGAGCAGTCCTGTATGCAGGGCCCCTAGACATCACATCACATGGCTTTGAGCAGTAGCACATGAGAGCCCTTGGGCTCACATAATGGCTGCGGTCCATTATCCCTGGAAGACTTGCATGAGAACAGCAGGCTGATTGGACCCCAGAGGTGTGTGCCAGACAGAGGGACTAAAGGACTTTCAGAGAGCTTGTGCAGGCTGTTTGGAGCCTCTGATTGGGTCTGGGGACTGATTCCATCCCACAGGCAGTCTCTTGACCTCAAGAGTCATGTAGCTCTCTTGTAAAGATACCTCATTAATCCATGCACTATGCATCCCAGGCAGTGCCCTCCCTTGGGACCCTTCCTGTTTAAAAGGAGCTGCTTTTTTTTAAAAAATTTTTTTTTTTTTTTTTTTTTTTTTACCATTTTACGTCTCCCTATGTGGACTCATTCTTTGAGACCATAGAGACAAAGGACCTAATCTAAGTATTGCAGTTTTTCATTGTCCATAGCATGGGATTATCTGTCAACTCGGATTGTAAAACACATTAGGACTAATTATGTTCAAATACTTCAAATGTCTCTAGATGATATATTGCTATCAAAGTGATGAAAAAGTAAATGATTAAAATTATTGGAACAGCCCTTCATAAAACGATATAGATATTTCCTGTAAGATACAAAGTTAGTAGAAGTAACCAGCAGGAAGTAGTGAAAGGAATGAAAGGGTCATGGAGAAGGATGCTTAGAGAAAGGGTAAAATGAGGGTGAAATACTTTTGAAAAACTATTTGAAAAACATTTTTTAAAAGTCATACACTCTTCCGCCGCCATTTTAAATCTAGCTCCATACAACGCTCCACCGCTGCCGCCAGCCGGACTACGCGCCACCACCCTCCGACCGACCATTCCGCCACCATGGAGGACATGAACGAGTACAGCAACATAGAGGAGTTCGCAGAGGGATCCAAAATCAACGCGAGCAAGAATCAGCAGGATGACGGTAAAATGTTTATTGGAGGCTTGAGCTGGGATACGAGCAAGAAAGATCTGACAGAGTGTTTGTCTCGATTTGGGGAAGTTGTAGACTGCACAATCAAAACAGATCCAGTCACCGGAAGATCAAGAGGATTTGGGTTTGTGCTTTTCAAAGATGCTGCTAGTGTTGATAAGGTTTTGGAACTGAAAGAACACAAACTGGATGGCAAATTGATAGATCCTAAAAGGATCTATCAAAGCCAAAGCTTTGAAAGGCAAAGAACCCCCTAAAAAGGTTTTTGTGGGTGGATTGAGCCCAGATACTTCTGAAGAACAAATTAAAGAGTATTTTGGAGCTTTTGGAGACATTGAAAATATTGAACTTCCCATGGATACAAAAACAAATGAGAGAAGAAGGTTTTGCTTTATCACATATACAGATGAGGAGCCAGTAAAGAAATTGTTAGAAAGCAGATATCATCAAATTGGTTCTGGGAAGTGTGAGATCAAAGTTGCCCAGCCCAAGGACGTGTATAGGCAGCAACAGCAACAACAAAAAGGAGGAAGAGGTGCTGCAGCTGGAGGAAGAGGTGGTACTAGGGGTCGTGGCCAAAACTGGAACCAAGGATTTAATAGCTATTATGATCAAGGATATGGAAATTACAATAGTGCCTATGGTGGTGATCAAAACTATAGTGGCTATGGCGGATATGATTATACTGGGTATAACTATGGGAACTATGGATATGGACAGGGATATGCAGACTACAGTGGTCAACAGAGCACTTATGGCAAGGCATCTCGAGGTGGTGGCAATCACCAAAATAATTACCAGCCATACTAAGGAGAACGTTAGAGAAAGCAGGAGATGCTAAAGAAAATCTCACCTTACAGGACTACATTGAAGATTGGTCTTCTGTTGATCTGATTATTTTGTAAAGACTTTCTAGTGTATAAGACACAATTGTGTCCAACTGTATATAGCCGCCAGTTAGCTTTCTTTGTTTTTAGTTTGTCTTTTGCTATGTGTTATGACTCAATGTGGATTTGTTTATACAAACTTTTATTTGTACAATTTCATGTTAAACCTCAAATAAATGCTTCCTTATGTAAAAAAAAAAGTCATAAATACCTCATAGATCTAGGGAATGTATATCCAGGTGACAATAGGCACTGGACAGGAGTTACATTGTTAGCACTAGTAAATACTGTTAAAGCCACTGTACATGTTAAAGGTAGTCCTTTACTATAAGCACCTCTTAATATTTATTTTTCCTTTAAATAAGCAAAGATGTTGGGAGCTGGGGTGATTTGGTTAGACCTTTATCTTGTGTCCTGGCTGCCTTGAGTGAATATCAGCCAAGTAGCTGGAAAGCCCTCATACCAGCTTTGCTGCTTTTAAACACTCTATGCAGGCTGCTTGCTGCCAAAGTACAACTCTAGATCCAGAAGGTATTAACCCAGTCATGACTATTTCAAACAGCTTATACCAGATCATTTTGTCATCGTAAACCTTGAACTGTAGATGATTGTGTTTTTCCTATATTCCCACTCAGGTCTAAAGGGGAGAACTGTCCTCAGTGGCCCAAAAGAAGGCCTGTTATTAGTGCAAATGCAAACCCAGGCCTTTCACAAAGGATGACTAAGATTGCTGCAAATACCCTTGCCATTACCTTATTCTGCTGTTAGTGCCAGCTGGGTCACCCTCCCCGTGCTGTTGCAATATCAGAGTCAGTAAGTGACTTCTCTCCTGTGGATTTTTCTTGCCTACTTTTGATTTTTTATCATTACTAGAGTAGGCTGAACTGATATGAAGAGACAGCTGAGCAGTAGTACAATGGCAGTAATAGATGCAGTCAGAGTTAGAGGCGTAGTTCAGTTAGTAGAACACTAGGCAATGAGAGAGCATCAGGTGCCGAGTTCAAGTTCTTGTCTCAGACAAAAAAAAAGGCAGCTAAAGACTTCTAGAGAGAGCCAGGCAACAGTGGCTCACGCCTGTAATCCTAGCTACTCAGGAGGCTGAGATTTGAGGATCACGGTTCAAAGCCAGCCCAGATAGGAACGTCCGTTGAGACTCATCTCCAATTAACTATCAGAAAACTGGAAGTGGTGCTGTGGCTCAAGTGGTAGACTGCTTGCCTTGAACTGAAGAGCTGAGGGACAGTGCCCAGGACCAGAGTTCAAGCCCTACAACCAACCAAAAACAAAACAAAAATGCTCCAGAGAGTAGCTGGGACAGAAACAACAGGAGCAAAGGTATATGAGACAAAGAACAGCAGAAAAAGAGAAGGAAGAGCCAAGGCTGAAGAAAGAGGGCTCATTATGCCATAAGGGCTAAGAATCTCACCACAGTAGGCTTATGAGCTGTAAAACTAGCAACTGGCAAAGGTTGAGTGTCCTGAACTCTAGGCCAGACAGCTATAACCTTTGTGGGTATAGGTCCTGGCTCCTGAGGCTTCTATGAGAGTTGTAACACTAGTAGATACCACCTGCTGTGTGCTGCAATGATGATGGATGCTGAGGATTTCAACAGTTGCCAAGAGCCTGAGTATTGATGGTTAAAGCCCAGAGCAAGAGGTAGAGTCATATTAGTCTATCTAGCTCCTAAAGCCTGGATCACTTGGCCCCTGGTTTAGAGCTGTAAGCCTGAGTCTTCCAGTCCAGCCCCTCAGCTTTGGGCACTCAATGTCTCGATTGCTAGCACTGGGAGACTTTCTCACCTACCTATAATTTTTATGTGTGTAGAGCAATTTTTCTGTGGTAGGAACCCAATCAGTAATGATACAGGTGGGGGGTCACAATGCTAAGTAGCTGAATTCATTTAATAGATCAGGCCTTTCTCTTCTGTGAGTTGTAAGACAGGGTCACCCTCACCCTCAATGTAGTGAGCAATTATGACATTACTCTGTAAAGAAAACTTTGGAGGGGCTGGGAAGGTGGTTTAGTGGTAGAGTGCTTGCCTAGCATTCACGAAGCCCTGGGTTTGATTCCTCAGTCACATAAACAGAAAAAGCTGGAAGCAGTGCTGTGGCTCAAGTGGAAGAGTGCTAGTCTTGAGCAAAAGAAGCTCAGGGACAGTGCCCAGACCCTGAGTTCAAGCCCCAGGACTGGCAAAACAAAACAAAACTAGGGAGACCAAGGTGATAAGAAGTTTTATTGTGGATTTATATAGGATGCTTTTATTTCTAAGATCCAAATGGAAAAATAAAAAGATGCATTGTTCCTAGTCTCACCATCATTTTGTATTCCAGTCCTATTACTTTTGTTTTCTGAAGACAGGGTCTCAATATGTTGCCTAGCCTGTCCTCATCATCCTCTTGCCTCAGCCTTCCATTTGCTGAGATCCCAGGCATGCACTATGATGTCTGGCACATCTCTCTTTTTCCTACTCTTTTGTCGTACTGAGAATCTCATTTCTAACTTTTAGGATTTATTTTTGGTGCTGGGGATTGAACATAAAACTTTGTGCAACATGTGTTCCACTATTGAGCTCTATCCTGTTTTTTAAATTTTCTTCTCTACTTGGAAAGATATTAGCCATTTAATTAACTTTTCATCTAATCCTATGAGTCTTTAAAAAATTCAAGTCCAAAGTTAATTTCCTTCTTAGCAATGTCTTTAAGTCCCTCCAAATAACAAGGATGAAGGAGGAAAAAAAGATTTGAAAACAAATATCCAGAGGAACTGACCTTATAAACAATCTGAATCCTGGTATAGTTATTCATTGTAAATGCTATCAAATGTTTTAAACATTTACTTCTAAAGTCTGAAATTTTTTATGAGAAAAACATATATACATTAAAAAAATTCTTCCCTTCTAAGCTTCCTTATAGCTTTCCTTCTAAACTGTGACTGTTTTAAAAGAAGAAAAATAATAGAACATTATTGTTGCCTGGTTATTTGGCTTTGAAGAGAAATGGAGAAATAATGCTCATATCCCAGCTTAAATGAATTCAGGCAGAGTAGCCCATGGCAGCAATCCCTCCACAAACATGCTGTCATATTTGCTTTCCAAATGTCAATATAGATTCTAGAACTTCAGACCTTGGGAGGGCCTTTAGAGATCTTTTTTTTTTTCATAGAAGAAATGTCCATTTAAATCATTCCAAACAGCACAGAATCTTCCCAATTTCTGAAGAACATTGGAAAATGTGATCTAAACTAATCTTTGGATTTAGTTATTTTCTATGTGTAGAAATATACTTATTCCCATTTGGCCAGACTTAACTTACATAATTTTCTTTTTAGTTTTACATACTCTATTCCTCAAGCCAATTTCTTCTTTAGTTTCTTGGTGCTCCAAGAAGAGATAGCTGACTAACATACAATTTAAAAACACCAAGTTGCTTACATTCCTTTTTGTCTTTTCTAAAGTTCTAACTTCTTTTGTAACAGTACTGGGGCTTAAATTCAGGGCTGGGCACTGTCCTTGAGCTTTTTTGCTCAGTTTTCCACATACTAAGGCCCTATTACTGAGCCTTATCTGTACCCCTATTTACTTAATGGGATCCTAGAACCAGCCAATTCCTTTCAGGGTCAAATTAGCTTATTGTCTACATAGATTTCTGCAGAGGTTTATGTTCTCAATAACTATGTTTGCTGCATGGCTATGTTCTGTATACTATCCTAATTGTAATCTTATTTTATTTTTAGAGAATATTTGTTTTGAAAATTGTGTGCTTCCTAGCTATTTTTTCCCCTGGTAACTGAATATAAGTTCTTCTTATATAGGTATATATGCTAGTTACAGTGCTATAACCCTTCACATGGGTTATTATTACTATTTTTGTGCCAGTACTAGTACTTGAATTTAGGGTTTGTGCATCGTCTCTTAGCTTTTTTTGTTTAAGGCTGACACTCTATCACTTGAGCCACAACTCTACTTTCAGTTTTTTGCTGATTTATTGGAGATCAAAGTCTCACAGATTTTATTGCCCAGCTGGCTTTGAACTGGGATCCTCAGATCTTGGCCTTCTGCTGAGTAGCTAGGATTATAAACATAATTCACTAGCACCAAGCTGCATTACTTTAAGTTGTTCACTCAACCCATTTTAGAGATGAAAACAGAGACCGAGAGGCTAAAAAACACATTCAAGCTATATTACACACCTATAATCCCAGTCCTTGGAGTCAGAGAAAGAGTTTGAGGCCAGCCTGAGCTAATATATTGTTCAAGGCCCACCTAAGTTGCACAAAGTGACCCTATCTTAAAAATACAAAAAGCAAAAACAAGGGCTAGAATGTAGCACAGTAGTAGAGAATGTGTCACATGCGCAAGGCCTTGAGTTGAATGAGAAAATTAATTCAAGATCACATACCTAGAAAGTGGTAGAGCAGGGATATGAACTATGGCAGAATAATTCCAATAATGGCTTTTAACTTGCCCATTCAATTGTAATTTCTTTTTGTCAGACATGGGGCTTGAACTCAGGGCCTGCACACTGTCCCTGAGCTTTTTTGCCCAAACTTTACCACTTTTAGCCACAGCTCTACTTTCAGTTTTTTGGTGCTTAATTGGAGGTAAGATTCTTACAGACTTACAATCCTCAGATCTCAACCACTTTAGCATGAGCCACCAGTCCCTGGCTCTCAATTGTAATTCCACATTATTTGTGTATCAGGCTTTCTTTTTTTTTTCTTTTCTTCTTCTTTTTTTTTTTCCCAGAGCTGAGGACCGAACCCAGGGCCTTTCGCTTGCCAGGCGGGCACTCTTCTGCTGAGCTAAGCCCCCAGCCCCTGTGTATCAGGCTTTCAAACCAATAGAAAAAGATTGGGAGCACCATTAAAAAACCGGAGAGAGGGCTGGGAAGGTGGCTCAGTGGTAGAGCACTTGCCTTACATGCCTGAGGCCCTGGGTTCGATTCCTCAGCACCACATAAGCAAAAAGAAAAAAGCCGGAAGTGGCGCTGTGGCTCAAGTGGTAGAGTGCTAGCCTTGAGCTGAAGAGCTGAGGGACAGCGCCCAGGCCCAGAGTTCAGGCCCCACGACCGGACCCCCCAAAAAACAAAACAAAACAAAACAAAAAACCTGAGAGAGCCTGGACTAGGGTTGCCAGATTTAACAAATAAAAACACAGGACCCCCAGATAAATGCGAATTTAAAAATAAGTAATATTTTTGAGTATGTCTCATGTCCTATTTGGGAAATATTTATTCTAAAATTGTTTATCTGACAGTTAAATTTATCCCGTTGTAATGCTAGACAACTGCTTGCCAGAGCAGGCAGGGAGGTTCCCCACTGAATTGGTATCTATTTGAGTTTTAGGTCAACTGAAAATATCTCTGTGCTTTGGAGCAAAATTGCAGCAATGCATTAATTCTTTAAAATGATAAACCTCTACAGCACCTATGAGGAGTTATGCCACGTTCATAAATTTTTTTGTGTTGATAAGATAGATTTTTTTCATCTGAATACATTTGTAGTATTATTTCACTAGCCAAGGATGCTTTATTTCTATCACCTATCCTAATATTAGCTGTTGCTAAATTTCACTTTAGTGAAAAGATAAACACAAAGACTGATTTTATTTAACAAGACAAAATAAAACTAAGATATAAAATCACGAGACCTTTTGTATTGTCTAAAACAATTCTTCCAGCTGTCAACCCATGTCAATTAATCCAGCAGTATCATTTGTAGAATGATTAATATAACAAGAGCTATTTCTCAGTTACAAAGAGGGTCATTAAACCCTTGAGACCCTGAAAAAATTACTTTGACTATTGAATCACCAGCTTACACAAAAGCAGAGATGAAAAGAAATGGAAAAACACAGTATGACGGTCTATTATGACTTTTATAAGGAAACAAAAACTGTGGCTAGAAATCTATTGAATAGGATGGAGAAGTTGTGGTTAACTTCCTAAGGGTAGCTGTTTGTCAAGACACAGCTTATCCTCAAACTGAAAAAGACCAAGTCAATAGTGCTTATTTTACTTTTTACTATTTGCTCTACCTAAATGGTAAAATTATGTGTTAACAAGACACATAGACTCACAAAAACTGTCAGAGATCATTTATAAAATATCTTTTTTTTTAGATCAATATATTGCTAAGCTTCATTCAATGATTCTCTCCTCAACTTAATGTGATCACAGATCCCTCCAAATCTATTTTAGTTATATAAAAGCTATTAACAAACTTTGGCTTCCTTACATTCTTTTCCTTATATTTTAAAAAGTAATTAAAAACAGTACTGAATATGAATTACTTCTCCCAAGTTTAGTGATAAACAATACACCAAGGTAAATTCCTTGGAAAATCCTACAAAAACTGCATTTATAAAGTTACTTATTTTGACAGAAGTTTCACTTATAAATAGCAGCCATGTCTTAATTGCCTACAAGATTGTAGACATCACATTTTACTACACATTTAGAATTGCAATGTGTTAAGATCAGATTTTCTAGTAAATGTTAAAACAACAACAACAAACCAAAAACAAAGTTACGAAGACAGATGGGTTAGTCATCCCATGCTAAGGAGAAAGCTGACTTCCATGATTTTACTGCTGACAGGAACCCACAACCACTGGATTTATGCTGGTGGGCATGAGAATGTGATTCTCTTTTGTTGAAAGAAGAAGTGACATTAACATGGGGGAGCAGCTGTAGCAGGACTTTAACAAGACTCTTCCGTGGCCAAGGGACAAACTATCAGAGGACATTAGAATGGGAGGTTGTCCAGTTAAAAACTTAAGAATGTACTATTCATAGATGAGGCTGAGATGTTCCACTCCTGAATCAACTGTAGTAGACTGATGTTTTCTAAAGTGTAGGTAGGCAGCAAGAGCTCAGAGTTACAGGGAAATGACATGTATAGGAAGGGGGAAATGCTGTATACCAAACTGCTCCTGTCAGGTGGTTAGCTGCATTGAAATGGGAGGAAGATGAATGCATTTTAATAATGGTACCCTATACTAGACTTGGGAAGACAAATCTCATTTTACAAGAACACTTGAACATATTAAAATCCATCCATTCTTTGCTGCCTGTACAAAGAATGACCAAGACCATTTGTCTACTTTGAGACTTTTTAGTGTCAGGAATAAGAACAGAGAAGGGCAACATTTAAAGAAGGGGAATTAATACTTTATATCCTTCTAGGCAAGCTGAATGCTACCCTAATTCCTGGTAAGTCTGGTGCCACTATGAACAAGCTGGCCTGAGTTACGAGACCTAAAATGAGGTGGGAACTGGTGTCAGAAAATATCATTCACAGTTGCACCTAGGCAGGAAGGAAATTATTGGTGTTTTTGTGTTTGCTGTTTTTAGGGTGATGTGGGGCAGCAAATAACAGGGCCTAATCCTAAACCAGAACTAGTCATGAGCACACAAGGTACCCATGGGCTGCAAATTAACTGCCAATAGCTGCTTTCCACTTAACATTATGTACACCACTCATGGACTATTCAGGTTGGATCCCTTGTTCCCAACCCCAATTTTAGGATGTATGAATAGCATTTGTTTCGTGTTTGTTCTTCTCATCCTGAATCTCCCAGGGTAACTCACATGAACCATTGACTCAGCCATGGCTGACCCTTCTTCCTTCCCCAGACAGTACCAGAGGTCTACAAGGTAGAATTTCCATAACAATAAAGATTACTAGGTCTTCAGGTACATTCAGTTTGCCAGACAGGTGCTACTACAACTGGCTAATAGGTACAATGATCCCATTTTAGTAGTTAGTAAAACATCTGATTGTTTCTATCTTCTTGATGTGGAGCAAAAGATTATTCCAGAAGAAAAAAACAAACAAACCAAAATTACAGATCAGGTGAGACATGTATAAAGAACTGTGTGGTGGCAAACAAGCCCTGACTTTGGAGAAGTTGTCAGAAACCACCACTTTGTGCCCAAGCACAAGGAACAGAGTGTATAGAAAACCTTGCAAAACCCAGCACCGGCTTCTTCCTCAGGAGGGCTCTAGAAAGCCTTTACCTTCACTTACAAGGCCCCGACAAATACACCTGGGAGGGCAACATTCTCTTTAGCTGCTGTTCCACACTGCGTATCTGCTCAGATGTGAACCTTGCTCAGACACCTCCCTCCTTGGAGGCAGAGAGAATGGTAGACTACATTTTCCCAAATAAGGGAAATCAAAGCACCTGCCAGCAGCAACCTACAGTTTCCCCACTCCTCAGTGATACCATCCCTAATTAAGTCAGCTTCAAAGGGGCAAAAATTGGTGCCTGCAGGACAGAGGTCAAATTCATGGTTTATACATCTTATCTGAAGTCATATACCCTACTTACCTGAATAAAACCCAAGTCATCCATCCCACCCTCCTTTCCCAGAAGGTGGGCAAATTTAAGTCCATTTCTTCTCTTTCACCACAGTGACTTGAAGAGTCAAAGAAGGTAGTGTAGGAGGAAGGAGCATTCTGTTTCATCTTAAAAAATAGAGATCTCTCTAAGTGTCACAACCTGTGGTTGTATAAAATACTATCATTTTTTCAATTCTCTTTCATGGTGGCTTCCAGGGGTTCATCTTCTAAGCCAAAGCCCAGGTTGTCAGCTAGCCCCTCAAACTGCTTGCCTAGACTGCTGGCAGAGTCCATGAACATGTGAGGGATATCTTTGCCAAAGTAAATCTTGCTGTTGGAAGCAATGGCCTTGTACTTCATCAGCTGCAGATATTCTGGGGTCAGCTTCAGCTGTGACAAAAAATTACAGAGAATTAAGTGGGACAATATTAGAGACTTTGGGTGTCAAATGTTTTGATTTTCAGAGTCTCTGTCAAAGAAATATGCTACCCTTGTGATTTCCTTGTTAAATTAGTACAGGGAAACAATTTTTCCGAGAAACCTAAGATCTTTAAGACAGAGCAACAAGAGCTACATTTCTGGTGGAAGGCCTCCTGTCAAAGGGAAGTATCCACACAGCACAGGAGTTGTCAGTTCTGGCCACAGGGGGCTCATTCAACCCCCACAGTCTTCACCAGGCCATGCTGGGCCTTTACCTTATTTGCTTCAGCTATTTTCAGTGCAGTGTAGCACTCGGCATCTGCTTTTGCCTTTTCCCGGGCCAGAAACGCCGCATCTGAGGGCAAAGAGTTCAGAGAAGTGAATGAAAAGGGAAAAGCTTTGGGGTTTTGCAGGAGGTCTCAGAGGCTCTCAGAAAACTGTTCTGGGGGGCTGGGAAGGTGGCTCAGTGGCAGAGTACTTGCCTTGCATGCATGAGGCCCTGGGTTTGATTCCTCAACACCACATAAGCAGAAAAAGCTGGAAGTGGCGCTGTGGCTCAAGTGGTAGAGTGCTAGCCTTGAGCTGAAGAGCTGAGGGACAGCACCCAAGCCCAGAGTTCAGGCCCCACGTCTAGCAAAAAAAAGAAAAAAAAAAAAGACGGTTCTGGGGAATAGGGGTGGAATTCAGTTGTAGAGTGCTTGCCTGGCATATGCAAAGCACTGGTTCAATTACTTGAACCACCAAAAAACAAACAAAAAAGCTGGGTGTGGTACTGTACTGGAAGGCTGAGCTAGGAGGATCTTGAGTTTTAGGCCAATTTGGGCAAAACAATGGGACCTAGTCTCAAAAAAAAAAAAAAAGACTATATTCTGTTCCCTACAATTTTCTCTGACTACTCCATGATCTTGGGAAGACTACTTTTTAAGTTTTTTTTTTTTTTTTTTGCCAGTCCTGGGGCTTGAACTCAGGGCCTGGGCACTGTCCCTGAGCTTCTTTTGCTCAAGGTTAGCACTCTACTACTTGAGCCACAGTGCCACTTCCGGCGTTTTCTTTTTATGTGTTACTGAGGAATCAAATCTAGGGCTTCATGCATGCTAGGCAAGCACTCTACCACTAAGCCACATTCTCAGTCCCCTTTTAATTTTTTTCCCTATGCTTTTTCTTTCCTCTTTGCTCTCCTCCAACTCTTATGCTGGCACTGGGGCTTGAACTCAGGGAGGGTCTGGGCACTGACCCTTGGCTTTATCAGTGCTGGTGTTATTTGAGAACAGTTCCACTTTCAGCTTTTCTGGTGGTTAATTGGAAGACATTTTTTTTTTTTGCCAGTCATGGACCTGAACTCTGGGCCTAGGCCCTGTCCCTCAGCTCTTCAGCTCAAGGCAAGCGCTCTACCGCTTGAGCCACAGCACCACTTCCAGCCTTTTCTGTATATGTGGTGTTGAGGAATCGAACCCAGGGCCTCATGCATGCAAGGCAAGCACTCTACCACTGAGCCACCTTCCCAGCCCTATGGTGGTTAATTGGAGATAAGAGTCTCATGGACTTTCCTATTCAGGCTGGCTTCAAACTGGGATCCTCAGATCACAACTTCCTGAGTAGCTAGCATTATAGGTGTAAGCCACTGGTGCATGGCCTACTGTGCTCTGGTTTCTTCATCTATGAACCAAGAAAAAAATATGGGTACTTCTTGTTTGCACATGCTTCCTTCTTTACCATTACAGAGCTCTCTACATTATCACTTTTGGGCTATGCAGCAAACACAAGGAAGCCCAAAGGAAGCTCTACTGAAGGTAACCAGTGGATGATCTACCCTAAAACACCATAAAGAAGCCCTGATCTTCTCCAAATGATTTCTACCAATCATTTTAATCACTCTGAGGATCAGTAATGAAGCCTGCACAATCCTGACAGATGTTCTCTGGTTCGGACCAGTACCTGTTGGATTCTCACTGGTTAATTCCTGTGTTCCCAACCTTATCAGTGGAGACCAACCTTCTATCAAGCTGGCACACATTTTGATATTTACCTCTTTTAGTAAAGAATAAAGCCAGCCTCATGTGACTAGTTTTTGTAGCAAAATGGCTGAGGAGAAAGGCCAGTATGTAGGGGCACCTAACTAAATGTTCTCACATGACCCTGGGAGAAGCCGGCAGTCTGGCTAGGGGTTCTGGTTGCCCTGTGACCACTCATCAGCCTCAGCACCTGATGAAGAATGTAATAATAAGAAATAAAAAGGTGTTGTTTTGCTAAGAGCTCCCTAATGAGGAGCTACTGATCTGTGCCTTCCTAATTGGCTCCTCAATGGGCTCCTTGAAAGCCTGACAGGCTCCATAATGAGTATAATTGGACATAACATTTTGAGGTCTGAAGCTGCCCCGAGGATCCATTTTTGTCCTAGAATTTACTTGACAGAAGGCATCACATGAAGTAAGAGTTAAGAGGGCTCAAGAGTAGGAACTGAAGGCAAGTAACATTCAGAAAACCAGTCAGGGAGGGGAGAAGGGAGGGTGATGAAGGGGGTGAATGTGAGCAAGGGACCTTGTATGCACATATATACATGTCAAAATAAGGCTCCTGTCCTAACTGATGCTAATAAAAACACTTTTAAAAAGGTGACTCGTTAAGATGGGCACTGGTGGGTCATGCCTTTAAGCCCTAGCTACTCTAGGAACTGCGAGCTTATCCTCAATTAACCAGCAAAAAGCTGGAAGTGGAAATGTGGCTCAACTGGTAGAGTGTTAGACTTGAGTGGAAAAGCTGAGAGTGAGAGAACCTGAGTTTCAGCCCCAACACTGGCACGTGCATGTATGTATGTGCATGTTTACACACACACACACACACAGTGACAAGAAAGAAAGAAAACCAGTCAAGAAAATACTTCCCTTCAGCTCCAGAGTTGCTGCTAAAAAAGTGCCTTCTTTGAAACCAATGTAACATCTGTATGGGCTTTGAGAGCACACTTGGGAGACCAAAATAATGGCACCAACTGCCTTTCTGTTTGTTTGAGACAGGGTCTTGCTATGTAGCCCAGGTGTACTCTTAAGCTCCCTCCTGCCTCAACGCCCTGAACACTGGGATTACAGGTGTGTGCCATCATGCCTGGCTGATTCCTTCACTGTCAAAGCCTAACAAAATGCCTGGCATACGTGGCACTCAATATTTGTAAAAGGAATAAATATTCTTTTTTTTTGGAATAAATATTCTTTGAAAGAGAATACTAGCTTCTACTTAGGATGCAAGGTCTGCCCAAATTTCAAAACCAGTACAGAATAAAACTGATCTTTCAGAGAGATCATGATGTCCTATTACAGATATTAAAAAGCAAAGGAGGGCTGGGAAGTGGCTCAGAGGTAGAGTGCTCGCCTTGCATGCATAAAGCCCTGGGTTCGATTCCTCAGAACCACATAAGCAGAAAAAGCCAGAAGTGGCATTGTGGCTCAAGTGGTAGAACACTAGCTTTGAGTTGAAGAGCTGAGGGACAGTGACCAGGCCTAGAGTTCAGGCCCCACGACCAACAACAACAAAAAAGGAAATGACTCTCCTTGCCACAAAACCGGATGTGAGCAAACCACAGACATCAGTGTCTCTCTGTGTACCTTCAATTTCTGAAATCTTCTTCTCAGTTTCTTTCTCCATCACCTTCTGCCCATAGGTAATTTCTGCGACCTGAGCCACTTTTTCTGCCTCTGTGTAAATGGAGTTGAAGATAGACTTAGAATAATTTTAAAAAGTTGGACTGATTTCACCTGTCTCCTGATCTGAGTGCCCAGGTACATGACAGTGAGTACACTGAGATGGACAGCCACTGTTCTCAGAGGGCAACTATGACAGGTACACCTGGGCAGAGATGGGATTGAGCCAGTGGGCACAGGAGCCATCCATAATTGAAGAGCCTTGTCTCCAGGAAGGAAAGCATTCCTCTGAAGAACATGCCGAAACCTCTCTGAAATCACAAGTGCATTTCCTCAGGATGAAGAACTTTCTTTCAGGATAAAGTACTTCCAGAGTCTCTAGACTTGAACCCCAGTCTTACCACTTCCTGTGCTTCATTTCAATGTGAGGCTGATAGTGCTTAACCTCTCATGGTAGTTGATTTACTTCATAGATTAAATACTTAGAGAAATACATGGCCCAAGGTTAAGTGCTCTATACTGTCAGCCATGTTTTCTTTTTTTTTTTTTTGTGCTGGTTCTGGGACTTGAACCCAGGGCCTGGGTGCTGTTCCTAAGCTTCTTTTGCTCAAGGCTAGTGCTCTACCACTTAAGCCACAGCTCCACTTCTATCTTTTTGTGGTTAATTAGAGATAAGAAGTTTCACTGACTTTTCTTGCCTGGACTGGTTTTGAACTGTGTGTCTCTTGAGTAGCTAGGATTACAGGAGTGAGACACCAGTGCCTGGCTGTCAGCTGTTTGTATTATGAATTCAGCAGAATTTGTATTATGAATTCAGTAAGAATCTCCTTCTGTTTAAGAGACATATGAAAACTTATTACCTCAGCCCATGCTCTGATCATTTCAACTTAGCTTCTAGGGATGTAAGTGCCATTCCTGCAGGGTGGCATTGCTTTAGAAAACTGTGTGGTCTAACATACAGGGACCCTTATTGCATCTTCCCACAACCCCCAGCTCTTCTTCCTAAATGGAGATCACAGAACCACATGCAGACCAATAAGGGCCTTCTTCCGCTCTGTCTCAGCTTCTTTCTCCACCACCTTCTGTTTCTGGGCTGCAATGAGAAGCTTTGTCTTCTCACTTTCCCTAAAAGGGGAGAAAGCGTGAAGTTGTAAGGCCACAATGAAAAAGTTTTGAGGAACTTTCCTGTCCCCTGGAGAAGCCACTCTGCATAGGAAGGGCACACTATAATTTCTTGCTCTCCTCTATAATACTGTTCAATGGCCCATGTTAAACAGATTTGTTGCAGAGAATATTATGGCTCTCTTTTTCATCCAAAATCATTTATTTGTTGGAAATATAACATAATTGCTAGGTGCAGTGATATATTCTTACAGCCCCAGCTACTTAGGAGAATGAGGCAGGAGGGCTGCTAAGACCAGGAGTTTGAAGCCAACCTGGACATATAGCAAGAACCCATTTCCAAACCACACCAAAGGCTGGAGATGTGGCTCAAGAGGTAGAGTGCTTGCCTAACAAGCACAATCAAAGCTCTGAGTTCAAATCCCCATACCACCAAAAACAAGACATCCATGTAAGCCAAAAACAACCATGAAACCAAACCAAAATGTACTTTAGTAATTCACCTGGCCCGTCACTCACTTGCTTTTCCCTCCTATCACTATGTCTGGAATAAGCCTAGAGATAAGGCCTTTGGCCTTTTAAAAGAATCACTGCTCTCCAGGGCTCTTCTGTGGCTCTTAGACAAGTTGTCCCAGTGAGCTCTGACCTGCCTGCTCAGTCTCAGTGCATTAGGCTGTAGCAATTGCTCAAAACGAGCACAGCTGTGGTTAACCTAACCCTGGGTTGAGGCAGGGGCTGGGAGAGCATGGTGGTCAGCTCAGGTACAGGGTATACTCACATCAACTCATAGTTCCTGCGGATTGCCTCAGGTATATTGGGCTTTGTCACTCTCACAGCCTGGAGAAGATACAAATAGCAACTGATGGGAGGGTGAGAGTGGTAAAACACACAAGCTCCCTAGGGTCTTTCATCTTCCTATGCAAAATAAGCATCCCCTTGGGAGAAGGGGTGCAGAGACAGAGGACTTTCCCACTGCTGCAATGCTTACTTGGATAACAAGGCCAGGGGCCATGGAAGTTAGGTCTTGTTGCAAAGCCAGTTTGAGATTTTCATCAATTTGATCTAGAAGGAAGACAAACACAAAAAAAAGAGTTTTCAGACTTTCTAGATGGGTGAGAACAGGACAGTAGTAAAGCGTAAGTGAAAACATCATTCCACTATTGAGCATATAACCAAAGAATTATAAATCAATATAGAGGATATTTGCATACATATGGTAATTGAAGTGCTATTCACAACAGTCAAACTGTGGAATTAGCTGAGGGGTGCAATAACAGATGAGTGGGTAAAGAAGATGTCATGCAAACACAAACACACACACACACACACACACACACACACACACACACACACCAGAATATTTTACAACTATAAAACAAAACGAAATTATGTCACTTATAGGAAAATGGAATTGGAGATCATTATGAGCCAGATAAGCCAAGTCCAAAAAAGCCAAATATTGCATGTTTTTACTCATTTGTGGAAGTTAGATCTAAAGGACATACATATTCATAAACATGTCCATATATATATTTAAACATACATACCTATACATACACACAGACACACAGATATACATACAAATAATTCTAACTATGGGACTGTTTAGGGGGTGAGAGGAGAAGAAGAGGGTAAAAGAAAGATGAAGATTGAATCTAGGATGTTGCACTTACTAGGCAAGCACATACAATTCTTTTTGGGGTAAAAAAGATCAAAAGCAAATTTAAGGTTTTTTTTCTTCAAGGTGCAATGAATCCAAAAGTAACCAAAGAATTCCACAGCCAGGGGCTGGTGGTTCATTCCTGTAATCCCAGCTACTCAAGAGGCTGAGATCTGAGGATAGATAGAAGTTCAAAGCCGGCCCAGGCAGAAAAGCCTATGAACTCTTATCTCCAATTAACCAGCAAAAAGCTGCAAGTGTAGCTGTGGCTCATGTGGCAGAATGCTAGCCTTGAGCAAAAAAGCTCAGGGATAACACCTAGGCCCTGAGTTTAAGTTTCAGGACTGTTTTTTTTTTTTTTTAAAGAGTATAAACTCACAAAATGAATTTAATCTTCTACTGTAAATTTTATTATTATAATTTTTTTTGTTGGTTGTGGTGCCTGAAATCTGGGTCTGGGCGCTGTCCCTGAGCTCTTCAGCTTAAGGCTAGTGCTCTACCACTTGAGCCACAGTGCCACTTCCAGCTTTTTCTGCTTATGTGGTGCTGAGGAATCGAACCCAGGGCCTCATGCATGCAAGGCAAGCACTCTACCACTGAACCACCTTTCCAACCCCTACTATAAATTTTAAACACTGCCAAAATTTATTGCTTAATTCTGATCCTAGACAATGTTGATGACTCTTCTTTCCTTATAGAACATATTCCTGGGCTGGGTGTACATCTCTGTGATAGAGAGCCTGATTAGCAAGGGGGAGGCCCTGAGTTCCATTTCTGGTATCACCAAAACAAAACACCTCTGAGGGAGGTTTATATGAGGATTCCTGGGAAAATCATTGTTCCAGCTTAGCATGAAAGAAAACACATTTACTTTAGCATTGACTCATACAAAAACAACTTAGAAGCAAATATAAACTAAATACAATAAAGGAACTAGAAGTTACTGAAATTTTTCCTTCCTTTGCTGCTGAAGTCAGCCTGTGCTTACATTATCCAAGTAAAAAGAGTAAATGGTATCTTCTTAAGTATGTAAATCCTTTGTACTTCAAGTGTTTTCCTATTCATCTCTATAGGACAGTGAATAAAAAACGTGAATCATACACCAACCATAACCTGAACCCAGAAAAATCCTAGGAACCACAAGGAACTATGACTCTCATTCTGTACTAGAACACATTGTGAACCTCTTGTTCTCATCAGTCCTGGTGTCCTTCACCCCTGTGATGTGGTGGGAAGAATCAAATGAAGCCAGAAGAGGAAGATTCTAGCTGTGGTTATGCTACTAACTAGCTCCATGACCTTTTTCATTCAGGCCTTTGAATTTATTTATTTAAAAAAAGAATGTTGGTGTATGGAAATTTAACAATGAAATCCCCACCCTGCTGTACAACTGATGTGAAAAAAAGGGAAAAAAATAAAGAAAAACGATGACGTTGGACAGATAAGACTGTAAGAGTCTTGTAGATTTTTGTCTTCATTAAAGAATGATACTTAGGGACAATGAAAACACATTTCTGTTCTAGTCTTCATTCAGTTGAAATGAATAAATTTTATTACATTGTTATTCATATGCTGAAGCTCAGTGAGTCTAAGAATCTTCTTTCTTTCATAGTCCTCAACATTTTCCTTTTTTGTGTGTGCAGGTACTAGAACTTGAACTCAAGCCTTGCTCTCATTTTGATTTTTTTACTCAAGGATGGTGGTCTACCACTGGAGCCACATCTGACTTTTTACTGATTGAGACAAGAATCTCTTAAATTTGTCTACCTGAGCTGGCTTTGAACCACGATCCTCAGACCTCAGCTTCCTGAGTAGCTACAGGCTACAGGCTACTCAGTAATCAGCCCTTAGTAATCAGCTTCTTTTTCACTTTTTGAGATAGAGTCGTACTTTTTAGATAAGGCTGGCCTTGAACTCATGATCCTCTGGCCTCAGCCTCCTGAGTGTTGGGTAGGGCTGTCCTTAACATTTTCTAGGTACTTCCTTTTTGATCATTCTGTACACTGCCCATCCTTTTTTGTGGGGAGCCGAGAAGTAGGCCATCGTGAGGCATGATAGGCTAGGGCTGAGGTTAGGGTGGAGATGGTAGACCAATGAGGGCAACCATACTTCCTTACCAAACAGTTCAATGTAGACCTCTTGAAGCGTATGTACACTGCAGAACTGGTTCAGCTCATGGTGGATCTTGTTGAAGATGAGAGCCTTGTCATAGTCAGCAGTATAGTTCTTCACTATATCATACACTGGGAGGAGAAAAGGGTTTTCATATGAAAATGCAGGCCTTAGACCTCTCAAATGTTCTCAAACATAGCTGTGCTATGTTCCTAAGGTGTCAAGACAGACTAATACAGGAAATAAGCAGGTGGGGTAGCACTCACTTACTGGAAGATGGACTGGAAAATAAAAGAAAAGAGGTACCTGCATTTGGGACCAGGAAGTTTACCACTTCAATTCTGTCAAAGTAGATCATCACACCACCACTATTGGAGGAGAAGGGATAAAGAAGGCACCAGTAAGCTCTGATCCTAGGCAATGCCCTTAGACATAAGACAGGTATTTCAAAGTATCAAAAGGGAGTTAGGAGGTATGCTAGATCTCTAAGCAGGAGATCTACAGAGCTCAGAGTTACAATCCAATCTTCTGAGAAATCATACCTCTCTAACATGTCGTGACAATAAACAAGTAAGATTTTTGGAGGTTAAGAAAAGAGTAGTTCCTGCTGGGCACTGGTGGCTCACACCTGTAATCCTAGCTACTCAGGAGGCTGAGATCTGAGGATCATGGTTCAAAGCCAGCCTGAGCAGGAAAGTCTGTGAGACTCTTATCTCCAATAAACCACCAGAAAATCAGAAGTGGCACAGTGGCTCAAGTGGTAGAGTGCTTGCCTTGAACTGAAGACCTGAGGGACAGCGCCTAGGCCCAGAGTTCAAGCCTCATGACTGACAAAAAAAAGAAAGAGAAAAAGAAAAAAAAAGAGTAGTTCCAATCTTTCAAATGAACAATGTCATTTGATCCAAATAACTACTTGCAAGGAAAAGCCTAATGATGGTCATTGGGAATTTTATAGTCAATGTTTCTCCAATTTCCCTATCACTTCAGTACTATGGGTCTCTTCAGATATTCATTATATTAAAGATGTTCTCACTATGACATCCTAACACTTCTAAATATTTTAGGATTGTCTCCACTATATACTACCACCTGATAAAGTTGGAATGTAAGGAACTAGAGGACAAGGGGTCTGATAAACCCACCAAGACATGGTATTACCATCTCTTATAGTAGCCCGCCAGCCTGCCACCCACTATCTTATTAACAGCTTTATCCTGGGTCCTTACCTGGTCCCACAAGGTACATTCTTCACCTCATCTGTCTGGAGTGTGGTCTGGAAACACCAAATGCCAGTAAGAAAATGGGCAGTGACAAAATAACTAAATAATTGAAAGTGCTCCTGTCCATGACAACTTGTGTGTGTTAAGCTTTGCCTTTGTTGAACATGAATATCCTGCCTACTCCATCTTCTTTACAGGGTTGATTTGCAGCCAGTAAAGGTATTTACACTAGACTTTCTGTAAGTGCACCACAGCTGATCAAGCAGAGTAATAATATTGTTAGAACAAAGACTGGATCAGGAGTCCTAAGATGGTATTCGCTTCAACCTCTTCCATTTACACTTTGGAAGCAGCAGATTCCCCACTTAGCCTTTGTGAGACTGGATTATTACCTGCTTGCTCAAATGACTCAAATAAGAAAGCCATAAAGCATGGTAAATGGGAGAAGAAACCCACAGAGAAAAATGATGAAGTATGCTGGGACATCTTGTTGGGTCCATTTATTTTACTGTGGTCCTAGGAACTGAATCTAGAGCCATGTCCATACTAGGTAAGTGCTCTGTCACTGAGCTATATCCCCAACCCTTGTTGGGTCAGTCTGAAGGTTATTCTTAAAGTCTTTACCAAGTACAGTGACTCATGCCTGTCATTTTTGCTGCTTAAGCAGACTGAGATCAAGAGAATTATGGTTCAAAGCCAGCCCAGGCAAAAAGTTAGTGAGATCTCATGTCAACCAATAAAAAAACTGGGCTACATGGGAGGTATAAATGTGGAATAAGCCAGTCTAGGCAAAATGTGAGAACCTATTAAAAAAAAAAACAATGAAAGCAAAATGAACTCAGGGAATGGCTCAAGTGGTATAACCTTCCTTGTAAGCGTTTTGGTTTTGCCAAAAAAAAAAGAAAAAAAATGTTTTTGTTTTTGTTTTACCCCTTCATTTTTCTTAGCTGGATATACATCAGATTTGACCAGTCTGACTTTGCCAGGCTGAGGTTTGATATAACTAGTCTTATTTCTATTAGATGCCATTAGCCCTCATCTAATCATCTTCCTTCCCTGTACTCCAAATTATGCTCTGATTTCTGAAGTTCAAATGAGAAGCTGCAAAATTACCAAGCTTAATTTCTGTAATGGTAGCCTCTGTTTTAAAAATACATCTGTTAGCCGGGCGCTGGTGGCTCACACCTGTAATCCTAGCTACTCAGGAGGCTGAGATCTGAGGATCATGGTTCAAAGCCAGCCCGGGCAGGAGAGACCGTGAGACTCCTATCTCCAATAAACCACCAGAAAACCGGAAGTGGCGCTGTAGCTCAAGTGGTAGAGCGCTTGCCTTGAGCTGAAGAGCTGAGGGACAGCGCCCAGGCCCAGAGTTCAAGCCCCACGACTGACAAAAAAAAAAAAAAAAAATACATCTGTAATCCTACATAGGAAGTAAAGATTGAGAGAATCACAGTTCAATGGATCATAGTGAGCCCAGGCAAAAAGTTAGACTTCATCTCAATAAAACAAGCCAGACATGGTGATGCATGCCTATACCCTAGCTACACAGGGGGCATATGTGGAAGGATCACAGCCCTAGGCCAATCTAGGCAAAAAGTGAGACATTATCTCATCAATAACTTAAAAGTAAAAAAGGGCAGGAAACATGGCACAAGTGTTAGAGTACTTGCCTTACAAGTGCAAGAATCCAAATGCTAGCATTTCCCTCCCCCCACAAAAATACAACATACACAATTTAACTTTTCTGCTATTATTCAAAGCATATTCTTCTCCTGATCTTTTTTTTTTTTTTTTGCCACTCCTGGGGCTTGAACTCAGATCCTGGGCACTATCCCTGAGCCTCTCTGTGCTCAAAGCTAGCACTCTACCACTTGAGCCAGAGCACCACTTCCAACTTTTTTTCTGTATATGTGGTATTGAGGAATTGAACCCAGGGCTTCATGCATGCTAGGCAAGCACTCTACCACTAAGCAACATTTCCAGCTCTCTTGATCTTTCTTTTTTTAATAGTTTTTTTTATTGTAAAAATATTGTACAAAGGGGTTACAGTTACATGAGCAAGGTAATGAGTACATTTCCTATCAGGCATTGTTACCCCCTTTGTTTTTCCCCTACCATCCCTTTTGATCTTTTTTTTTCTTTTCTTTTCTTTTTTTTTTTGGGTCTGGTCGTGGGGCCTGAACTCTGGGCTTAAGCGCTGTCCCTCAGCTCTTCAGCTCAAGGCTAGCACTCTACCACTTGAGCCACAGCACCACTTCCGGCTTTTTTCTTTTTGCTTATGTGGTGCTGAGGAATTGAACCCAGGGCATGCAAGGCAAGCGCGCTACCACTGAGCCAACTTCCCAGCCCTTGATCTTTCTTAAAAGTAAAAAAAAAAAAAATTCCAACTGGGGCTGATGGTTCAAAGAAATGTAATGACTCAGCTATTTCAACAATCAAATAATGCTCTAACAGCTTCATTGTGTGCATGTGTGTGAATGTGTGCGTGTACGTGTGTGTGCGCGCATGCACATGTGTTTAAGATCCTTAAATCACTCTCTGAGAGACATTTTACTCATCCAATAGCTCAATAATTTTAATCACATATCAGTCACAACCCAAATTTGCAGTCATTCAACCATAGCACACCAGCCAAGTATACCTGTACAGATTTATATGATGTGATGAATGGGAGCATGAGATGGAAACCAGGGCCGCTGGTGGAAGTCAACAGGGCTCCACCCCTGCAGAGGAGGGAAAGAGCAGACTCAGTATAACATGGTGGATCCATTAGATCAAAACTCAAGTGGGCAACTCTTCTCCTCAGCCCTATAAACATTTAATACAGCAACATGTGCCAGACCCAAGTCCACAGATTGCTTTCTTCCTCTCACCTCACCCTAATATTCTAGGAAGTCTGATGGCAAAACACAAAACCATTAGTTTTGCTTTTGCAATGATTAAAAAAAATAGGCACCTAGGCTAAGTGAAATACAGACAACAGAATGCCAGGATACTCCAAAGAAGAGATGTTCTGTCTGCTTGACTTTGTCCCACACGTTAAGATACGGCAACCCTTGAGGCGATCAGTTAACTGCACTGTTATTGGAATTCAGTGACAGGGACAATAAAAAAATAATAATGATATATATATATATTTTTTTTTTTTTTTGCCAGTCCTGGGGCTTGAAATCATGGCCTAGGCACTGTCCCTGAGCTTCTTTTTGCTCAGGCTAGCACTCTACAACTTGAGCCACAGCATCACTTCTGGCTTTTACTGTTTATGTGGTTCTGAGGAACGGAACCCAGGGCTTCATGCATGCTACTCTACCACAAAGCCACCTTCCTGGCTCCCCAAAAGAATAATTTTTTTTTTCCTGTCCGTCGTGGGGCTTGAACTCTGGGCTTGGGCATTATCCCTGTGTTCTTCAGCTCAAGGCAAGTGCTCTACCGCTTGAGCCACAGTACCACTTCTGGTTTTCTAGTGGTTAATTGGAAATAAGAGTCTCAGGGACTTTTCTGCCCAGGCTGGCTTTGAACGGTGATCTTCAGATCTCAGCCTCCTGAGTAGCTAGGATTATAGGCATGAGCCACTGGTGCCTGGCCAAAAGAATAATTTTAAATATACTTTCTTTTTTCTTTTTTTTTTTGCCGGACATGGGCCTAACCTCTGGGCCTGGGTGCTGTCCCTCAGCTCTTCAGTTCAAGGCTAGTGCTCTACCATTTGAACTACAGTGCCACTTCGAGGTTTTTCTGCTTATGTGGTTCTGAGGAATCGAACCCAGGGCCTCATGCATGCAAGGCAAGCACTCTACCACTGAGCCACCTACCCGGCCCTTAAATATAGCTTCAAGTAACTAAAATTTATATATAGAGTTACCTTTCTTTTCTAATTAACTTGTATGTAAATGACAAAATTAAAACTTTTCTTGGTGGGGGGAGAAACATGCAAAATAGTGGGGAGGATGAAAGAGAAGGGAGTAACTTGAAGTTTTAATCCCTCCCTTCTTTTTTCAATCCCTCTCTCCCTCCTTCTCTCCTCCCTTTGTTCTCCTTCCTTCCCTTCCTTCCTGGTGCCTGGGCCTTGAAATCAGGGCCTTACATTCTCACTTGGCTTTTTCCCTCAAGGCTGGTACTCTACCACTTGAGCCATATGTTTATTAATCTTTTTTGGTGTTAAAGATTGAACCTAAGGCTTAGAGAAGACTAAGCACAAATTCTTCCACTGAGCTACATAATCAGAGATCTGGAACTTGCTCTTAGGGGGATGGTGAGGTGGCTTGATGGCAAGCACTTGCTTAGCATGTGTGAAGCCCTAGATTGGATCACTGGCACAGAGAAAAAAATTTCTATTGGCCACATAGAAATAATCACAATAGAGAACATGTAAGAAAGGGCTTACAAAGACTTAAAGCAAAAATCATAGTTATAGAGGTTACTAAAAGGAAGCAACCAAGATTCACACTTGCTTCATTGCTTTATGAAGTAGAAGATAGTATTTCAAAGAACAAGCAATGAACACTGACATTGTGTGCTTCTATACTATATATAAGAAGTGCTATTATAAGGCTTGCCCTGCTTCATAAATCAGCCTGCAGAGCATATTCATTTTTCCTGAAACATTCATTTGAAGAGTCTCTCAAAATATCAAAGTAGGCTCTCCTCAAGTTCCCATCAAGAACTGAGACTTTAGGTAGGCTGGTAGTGAGGCCTATACTATTAGTTATTTGGGAGGTCAGAGCAGGAGATCACACACAATTTGCAGGCAGCCAGGGCATCAAAGTTCTTGAGACCTCCATCTCAACCAAAGGTCAGGAGCAGTGGCACACACCTGTTATCTTAGCTGTGGAGGAAGCACAAGTAGGAGGATTGTATCCCAGGCTGGGCTGAGCACAAACTGAGTCCTTTCTCCTAAATAACCAAAGCAAAAAGGGGCTGAAGGTGTGGCTCAAGTGGTAGAGGGCCTACCTAGCAAGTATGAGTCTCTAAATTCAATCTCTAGGTCTCCAAATTAGGACTTCAACAATGGTCTGCAAAAACAAAACAAAACAAAAAAAACTGGTTCCTTTAGGTTTGTCTTTAAATCTACAAAGACATTTAACAATCACTGTCATTTAAAATATTAAAAAAGTAACAATCAAAAAAACCTAAAAAGTAAAAAAAATTGTATACATCGCAGTTTTCCCATAGTCACTGTCATAAAAGCTCCATCTAAAAAGACTCTTCTATTAAATAAAGTATAAACACTGATATTTAGAAGCTTCTGCCATATGGTGACTAGGGAATGGAGCCATTTGACAGGAAATTGCAGTTTTTACCTGTCTCAGCCTTACCTGTAATAGACCCCAATGTGTCCCTCTTCTATCTTGTGCACAGCTGAAAAGAGAGATGCACAAAAGAAACTGGAAGCCACAGCCACAACTGCTCCTAACTGAGCCATCAGTGAACTTGGACCCTAGGAAGAAGATACGGGAAAATGTGTGGCTTGATATGCAGGACAGCAGCTATGCCAGTGACAACTCACCAACCCCAGTTCCCTGAAAAGGACGCGTAGAAAACCTGTTGTAGGTACACAGGCTAATCTACAACTCCTTCCATTCCTTGCTCAGTCAACATTCCCTTTCCTTAACTGTGGAATTGCATTCCTCATCACACTGAGGAAGCTGTAGCTCCAGATACAGCCCAGACCCACCCTGGGAGAACCAGTGCCAACTGGGCAATGTTCAGAACACAGCCTTCTCTTCCTGTGAACACGAATAGGCCATCACCAGAGTCACTCACACTAGTACAGAGGAAGAGGCAGCTGCACTCCGTTGGCCCAAATTACAGAGGATGTCAAATGACAGACGGTTGTGGCTATGTAATTCTGGTCAGAGCCTCCCAGTTCTAATTGCCTGCCATTTCAAAAGGAAACCATCATTCTCTCCTTTAGGGTGCTTGTGAGACAGAGCCAGCAAGTAACAGGGTTCCAGGTAGGCTCTTTCGGTTTCGCATCCACCACCTTCCAAGTTATTCCTTTGGGGTTTCTTTCTTTCTTTCTTTTTTTTTTTTGCCGGTTGTGGGGCCTGAACTCTGGGCCTGGGCGCTGTCCCTCAGCTCTTCAGCTCAAGGCTAGCGCTCTACCACTTGAGCCACAGCGCCACTTCTGGCTTTTATTTTTTGCTTATGTGGTGCTGAGGAATCGAACCCAGGGCCTCATGCATGCAAGGCAAGCGCTCTACCACTGAGCCCCCAAGTTATTCCTTTGGATCAAGACCCGACAGGTAGGTTCTGAACAAGCTGCACTCTCGCCCAAGTTCGTGGTGAGAATGAATCGGGAATGCCTGGGGAACTCTACTAATCTCCTGGGTTTAACCATTCAGACACCGGGATACCAAAGAGGCGGCATCTAAAAACTCATTTCTCGAACCCTGGACGATCTGGAAAAAACTATGGTGACTGGCAGCCACATCCAATCAGGTGTGCCCGGCCCATCCGTGCTTCCCGGGTCCGACATAACTTGGGGCGCCCAGGTCAGCGCTGATGTTTACCGTGGAGGCCTCCAGCCAGCGACCGGCAGGGGCGTCCTTTCTGCAAAGGCTCTTCCCTCCCCGGGCCACCCCCGCCCGACCTCCTCGGAGAGACGCCTGGGGTTCCGGGTTCCGGGCCGGGACCGGACGGGACGGGATGGAAAAGGCTTCCTTCTCGTTCCCGGAGTCGGGCCGGCCGACGGAGACAAGCGGCTGAGGTCCAAGCTCCGGGGCACCGCGGGTCGGGGCCGGCCCGCAGCCGCGGCGGGGCGGGGTCCGCGTACCGGGCTGTCCCTCCGGGCGCTCCGTACTGGTCCGAACCCCCCGTGCAACCGCAGAAACCGCCACACCCCTCACCACGCTACTTCCTTCCGGGCCCGTCGCTCCGATGACGCCATCAGTTCCCGCGAAGAGACCACGCCCCCTTACCTCGTCCTCGTCCTCCCGCCCCGCCCCTCGAGCTCGGAGCCGTTAGTGGTCCTCCTCCACCACCACCACCACCACCACCACCACCAGGGGGCGTGCGCGAGTCGGCCCGACGGCCGGGAACCTGGGCCTAAGATTTCGGGGACCGGGATGCGGGACCCGAGAGATGGGGACCCGACTGGCAGCTTTGTCCGGCGAATGGCTGCCGCTGTCACCTTCCGAGGTCTCGGCGCTGGATCTTGTGCCAGATGTCCCTCCGCAGTGCGTGGAGCCCGGCAAGGCAAGGGCGCGTGGCCGCGTTCCAGCCCTCCGCCCGCTGCGGTCCTGGCCCCGGGCAGAAGGAAGCCGTCCTGGAAGTGCTCCATTCGCCTCCTGACGTCGCCGGTCCGCAAGCCCCACCTTGAATGGCTCTTTCTACCTCGTGGGAGCGTCGGGCTTTGAGGTCCCCGCCGCGACCTAAAGCAATCAGGAGGGAATGATTGCTCCGCGGTTAATGAATGGAGTCTGAGTTCAGCCAGGTGCTGGGTAAACAACAGTGCAGGAAAGTTTCCTTAATAGCTGGAGCTTCCGGTGGCCGTGCCGCCTGGCATGCTGCAGGGGCCGGGAGCAGCGCGGCTGCGAGGTGCCCGTCATCGCAGGTGTCTCTCCTGTGGTATCTGTGGTACCTGGTGCTCAGGGAATACACGCACAAAAGGCCCAGGAAGAGAACCCGGACTGTGCCTCGAATTGCCCTCAATCTGCAGCAGTAACACCATGAAACCTTTCTAACTCTGTGTGTGTGTGTGTATCCAGGGGATTGAACCCTGGGCCTTGCCCATGTTAACCTTGGGAATCTACCACTACTCTACTCCCACCGTGGAGGCAGTTCTAAGTCAGTTACTGAGGTTACTTTGTTTGCTGGCAAAAAAAAAAAAAGTTTATAGAGTCCACTTAATTATAGGTTCTGGTAAATGAAAAACTTTTTAAAATAGGAAAGCTGGCAAGCTGGCAGTGTTAAACTGATTTAGGACACAGGGAAAAAGGAAAGTATAGATTTTCCAGGCATGGCTGCTTGAGATTGGCCTGTTTCCACTCCTTGGGTTTGCTCTGGGTGGATAAGTGTATGTTGGAATTTCTCAGCGTTATATGGTTATGCCCAGGAGTGAGCTAGGTGGTATGGTCAGTGGGCCTATCCGCATGGAGGAGGGTTGCTCTTCTCATCTGGACGCTGTACCCCTTTCCCCCCAACACATACAGAGACTCAGATTGCCATTCTTTTTTTTTAATTTAAATTTTATTGTAAAGGTGATGTACAGAGGGGTTAGTTACATAAATAAGGTAATGAGTTCATTACTTTTTTTTCTTTTTTTATTGTGAAAATACTGTACAGAGGGGTTACAATTACATGGGTAAGATAATGAGTACATTTCTTAGTAAGCATTGTTGCCTCCTCCTTTATTTCCCCTTCCCATCCCATCCTCTTCTCCCCCCCAATTCTCCTCCCCCCCCCAAAGTTGTAAACTTCGTTTTCGACATAAGGACTTGTACGTCTCATTGTTGCAATAGGTCCACCTGTATCCCTATTTAAACGATTTCTTTTTTCCCTTCCCCTCCACAAATTATACCAACATTAAATACCTTGAAAGCAGGGGTTATACCGTGGGGGAGGGACATACAAAGCAACAAAGAAATAATCTTATAAATGTGTTAGAAACAATCCCATGAAAGAAAAAAAACATTTGAATACATATCTTAGGGTTCATTTCCCTAACATCAACTTATCTGACCTTTTCTGCTTGACTCAGACATATACTA